TATAGTAAAAATCAGCATTTTTGTGACAAAATTTATAGATAGAATAGGTTTTCTTTTTATTTTTTTTGCTATACAAAAATCAGAACTAATAACTGAAAGCAAGATTTATTTTTTCGCTGCTAAACATAGTGATATTGGTAGCACATTTTATCCCAAAAAAAGGCATTGGTAGCACATTGTTTCTCCTTTTGTGATGAAAAAATGACTGTGTAGCTGTATTAATTTTTGAAAATAAAAATTTCTTTGAATTTTGTTCATATCAATGTTGGTCACAAAAAAAAATTCAATATTTTTTTCATTTCTGTTTTGAAGTTTAAATATAGTTTTTCAGTATAATAAACAACTGGTACACAATTTTGAATGAATATTTATCTAGATAACAAATGGTACACAATTTACATTTAGTTTTTAATTTTAATTTATTTAAGTAATATTATCTTTTACTTGTTTTTGAGTTCTTTTGTATCAAAAGGTTTTACTTTTTTATTATTATTTTTTTGTAGGTATTAATATAAGTTGACAACTTAATATTTTTAAACAGTAAATAACCTTGTGATTTATGTATTCTATTAGAAGTTAAAAATCAATAAATAACAAAGAACGATTTAATAAAAATTGTGGTCCGAATTAAGAAGAAAGTGTGACTCGATTAAATTAGCGTTAGAGAAAAGTAAAATGACAAAATTATAAATAAAACTATTTGAAGTAAAAAACAAGGGTTATTAACACTTAGAGGTACTTTTTGAAAATTTCTTTACTTTTAGGTACTTTTTGGTGAAGATATACTTTGGTGATGTCGAAAGACATAAATGACCCTAAGAATAACTAAGAAGAGTAAGAGTGAGTAATATTGGTTTCGTGTATGTTGGTGGGAACAGTCGTTAACAGTTACTTTCTCTTTTATCAATTGTTTCTGAAGTAAAAAAACTCTAGATTTACTTTCTTCGAGATTTGGGGATTTCGCTGTTGGGAATTCCGGTGAGTGAAATCATGGTGGATTCCGGCGCAGAGAGTTCCGGTAAGTTCATTTTCCCCTATAATCATCTTCCTTGTAACTATTTCACGATTCATAACATGTTGTTTCGAATGTAGGGAGAACAAATTTTGTAGAGAAATTTGATCTCAACTTTCGGTACGGCTATTTGCTACTGATAGGTTTTTGAAGTTGAGGCTGAATGTATTTGCTTACTTTTGCATGACAGACGAATTTCAGAGAATAAGTGAGTCGCTGTTGGGGATTTTGTTCGACCTT